GTGGGATCACCGTCGGACAGGCGGATCTTCAAAAGGGTCAAAACTGCGGAGTACTCATCCGTCTGTCGTTCGACTCCAGCGAGATGCACGCGCCTTCGACGTGCGGTTCAGACGACCCGATTCCAGTATGTCTTATCCATGAGTTCGAAGGGATGAGTTAATGAAGTCCCATACGATGGTGTAGTCGAACTCGGAATGCCGTCACAAGTGCTGATGACTGTTCGAACCGGCCGGAACCACGTCTCGAAGGCAGTGTTGACACTGAAGGCTCCCTCTGGAGTCACATTTAATCTCGAGAAGGCAACGTTGAAAGATAACCGTAGGTCTCAGTGGCTTCCATCAATACCTGATTACGAATTTCTTCAGAAGATCCGTCTGTGTCATTGGAAGCCTCTGAAGAGAGCTTGACTCTGCTCAACATCGCGAGCGATGCGTCAATACGTGTCTTAGTACCGCACACAGATGCTTCGGCTTTCCATGTGATAGTGGGTTCAAATGCGTCTTTATTCCGAACGGAGTAATCCCTTACAACCTGTCAACAGCAACTTCATGTATCGGTTGTCTACACTACGGTTGGAGACCATGAGGTAAAACGAACACTTTCACTCAGTAGCCGAGTTCCGACTGCCTTGCCGGTGGCCGTGAACGTCCAAGATTTCTTCCGCGGGTCGAGGTAGGCAAAAAAAGTACCATCCGTACCCGACATCTCCTAATCTCTTACGACAACCTCTCTAGATTATTTTCTCGATTCACCATTTCGACCACCTCCTACCAGCACATTCGAATATCTTCAGCACATCTCGAACCTGCAGAAGGAGGAAGCAAGTTGAAGATCGCCGGTACTGACCCCAGTCGGCGTGTAATATCGGTAATTGCTCTCGCGCGTTCGTTGTCGGAAATATATTCTGACTCCCCTGATTCAGACCGTCACTTCATCTCGTCCTGCAAATTTTCTGTTTCAGCTGGATTCTGAACACGGCGGAGGTTGGTGTTGGCAAAGTATAAACGGCGACACGCTCACTTCCGCTGAACAGTTCCGGATCCTCTCTGCCTGTCGATAAAATACCGCATGCTGCGGGATGGTGAGATACATCAAAGAGCGACAATGGCGACTGACTTATCTACATTATATAACAGAAGTTGAAACAGTCATTGACGAATCGGTGGATTTGGTCTTGTCTGAATCACCGGAACATCAAACTTACAGAAGCCGTCTCGTCGCACGGATAGTGCAAGTCCTCGAGAGCGATGGTGGATGGGTACAATTGTACGGCGTCACCGGTGAGCTGAAGGTTCCCAGCGTTGACGAGTCCGGAGAATTTGGCGAGGTCCTCTCTCGTGTTGTTGAGGTCCGTTTTCCATGCCAGTGACACAGTCAATATGAGAATGACATACACAGCAGGTACTGGGGAGAGCTCGATCGCCAGACAGCCGGGACGGTTCGTGGCACGAGATCAGAATCCCAGTCGACATTCCATTAATGAACGTGAGTGTCAGGGGTGGACGGTGTTTTAGACATTTATCGCTCATTATATTTACCTTGCAGATCCTTGCGGCCGCTCGCCTGCGCATCTTGGCTTCGCCTCTCTCAGCCGAAATCGTCCCTTCCAATCGACTGCCGCCTCTGTATGCCGGCCAGCCGATTTCGGCTATTCTCTCAATTCGGACGTCGTTCCACTGGGGAGCCAAAGAGCATGCTGGTAGAGAAGGATATCGCATGAAATTCGACATCGAGGAACTGGTCAGAGACTGGCTTGTCAGTGGCAGGAAACGCGGAGACTTCGAAGCCCGAGTGCGTTTTTCTTTCCATAAGCTTCAGATTGTGTTCTAACCCTCAGTAGGACGGTGGTACATACACCTTCCCGATCACGCTTATTGCATTGCACCACGGTGAACTCTCTCTACCAAAAGTTACAGTCACTCCTCTACCGCTCGCAGGCGAGATGACAATGGGCTCGTTATCTCTACCTAACACCGAGACTTACCAAGTGCATGGGGCGGAGAAGGTTCTGATACTTCCGAGGGGAGGAAGGAGTACATTTATCGTAGCGATGGGAGACGGACCCTCCGATTGAATAGTGGCTATTGGTAGACGTGCTCGTTGCGCATAACTTATAAATTCTTTACGTTTCTTTTGTTGCAGCAACTAAAACTCTGTCGTCTTCCTGGTCGCGGCTTGTCCTGGCTTGTCCGAGTCCTGAAGTCAGGCTGAGCCCTAACCCTAGAAACAGTCTTGAAGATTCCTCTCGTGTTCGCATCTCAGCCTGCGACCACCACCATGCCTTCAGGTCCGTCCCCGGAGGAGGCGAGCACGTCGACAGTATCAAGACCTACTTTCAAGGCTCTTGGTCTTATAGATCCTCTTCTTGAAGCCGTTGAACAGCTGAATTACAAACAGCCGACAGACATCCAAGTCGAGGCTCTTCCTCACGCTCTCGAAGGCCGAGACATCATTGGTGTTGCGTCCACTGGGTCCGGAAAGACTGCGGCTTTCGCTCTTCCTATCCTTCAAAAGCTATGGGAGGAACCCAAGGGTCTCTTTGCCTGTGTCATCGCGCCCACTCGCGAACTGGCGTACCAGATATCACAGCAGTTTGAAGCACTGGGCTCCGCCATAGGCGTTCGCTGCGCCGTCCTCGTCGGAGGCATGGACAGAATCTCCCAATCGATTGCTTTAGGAAAACGACCTCATATCATTGTCGCGACACCTGGGCGTTTGGAAGATCATCTAGAAAATACAAAAGGCTTCAGCCTTCGCGGACTCAAGTTTCTGGTGAGTACAATGTCTGGTATCATTTCTACTCATCATTTAGCCATGTTGTTAGGTACTCGATGAGGCAGATCGTCTGCTGGACATGGATTTCGGGCCCATCATCGACAAGATTCTGAAAGCTATTCCAAAAGAGCGGACGACCTATCTTTTCTCCGCTACGATGACAACCAAAGTCGCGAAGCTTCAGCGCGCAAGTTTATCCAATCCCGTCAGGGTAGAAGTCTCCACAAAGTACGTTCATCATAGCTTCTAGCACGATCAAACATTGAACATGGGTTGTCCTAGATATTCCACTGTATCAACCCTATTGCAATATTATCTTTTTATTCCCCTCAGCCATAAGGATGTACATCTCGTGAACCTGGCTAACTCGCTCGCCCAAAATTCCATTATAATTTTCACACGTACAGTCCACGACGCTCAAAGGTGTGTTGTCACCTGGCACGACAGCAGCGGGACTGACGGATTGATGTACACAGATTATCTATCATCCTACGAACACTGGGCTTTCCAGCGGTCCCACTTCACGGTCAGCTGAGCCAAAGTCAACGTCTTGGTGCTCTCCAAAAGTTCACGAGTGGGAATCGGAAAGTGCTGGTGGCAACGGACGTCGCTAGTCGGTGCGTCGGCTTCTCTTATTTTAGCAACAATTGTTTGCTGACGGCTTCGGCAGTGGCTTAGATATCCCGTCTGTGGATGTTGTTATCAATTTTGACATACCGACACATTCAAAAGATTATATCCATCGCGTGGGCCGAACCGCGCGTGCTGGTCGCTCTGGAAAATCGATCACCCTCGTGACTCAATACGATGTCGAACTTGTTCAGCGTATCGAAGCGGTGACAGGGAAGAAAATGGAGCTTTGGGCTACCGACAAAGAGGAAGTTGCACTGCTGCGGGAACGAGTGGAAGAAGCGGGGAGGCTAGCTGCGAACGAGATGAGGGATGAGGCTAGCAAGGGAGGTGGATACGGTCGGAAGCGACGGCGGGATGACGGAGATGATAAGGACAATAGGGATCGCGATGACGATGTCGTAGAAGCAGGGATGCCGAAGAAAAAGAAGAAAGGGAAACGATAGGAGCTCAAGGTAAACTATCTAACCTAGACTTCCAGGTATTATTATTTGTCGAGCCTACCCCTTGAACATGATATCTGATCTCAGGACATATTTTGTTCCACTACGGACCTGAGAACCTTCGTGCAAGAGGCATTCATGGCCATGCCTGACGGATAAACCCTGTTAGAGGCCATGTTTGCCTAGTGGGGCGAAGAACTCCGCCTACCGATGAAGCAGAGCGGTCCCTCGGGTTAAAGGAGCTACGATGGCGACTGAAGACTTCCTATTCTCATTTGTATAAAATATCGTCTGCATATATATTTTCGTGAGCTCCTCCCTCAAGCAAGCGGCGAGCGGCGAGCTGATACATGTCTAAGTAAAGCAGCGATGCACGTACTTCGCCACCTTCCACGCCGTCCTCGATCCCGGTAAGATAGACCAGTAAAGTCCACTCCGATTTGGCACCGGTCTCGGTGTCGCGGACCGAGTCGTCGTAGTGCTGACCGAAATGCTGAGACGGTGTGTACTTGTACAAGCGAATATTAGAGTTTAGGGAATGAGCTGGTCGAACGGAAGCATTGGGTCGCTTCATGGACGCCGGATAGGGAAAGGATGGTAGATGAGGTGACAACACCTCGAACAGACGATCTGCAAATGATGTCGACTTGATAGAGATACGGTCTACTCATCTCGTGAGTTTAGTGCATGTATGTCGACAACAGAAGACAAACGGTTAACTCTATCAGCTTCACCCCGTTTTTTGGGCGGTGTCAGCTCCAGAGGCTGCTCGTCGATGAAGCGTGTAAAACGTTTGCATTCTTCAGAACTGAAGAAACCCTATAGAGAGAGAGAGAGACAGAGAGAAGGAAAAACATCAACACCATTGACGCGCGCTCAATGGATTGACACTCAACGTCCAACAGCAGGATCTGGTCTTCGAGAAGGGTCTTGATGCGTACTACGCCGTCTGGCTTAGCAGTTACCTCGGGGAAGACAACGGCCTTGGTGGCAACCGGGTCACTAGCACTACGGATCGACGTCGGAGTAGCGACGGCAGTGCGAGTTTTCTTGGCCATCGTTATATGTCAAGACGGTGGAAGTCAATATCCTTTGGGGATGTGGTATGAGCTGGACACTGGTGCGCGTCTGCACGCGGGCAAAAAAGTCTCCTGCCCCAGTGAGGCTCGAACTCACGACCTTCCGATGCCATTGAAATAACAGTCGGACGCTGTAACCAACTCAGCCATGGGGCACGTAACTTGCGATCTCACTTTGCTGCCTCATATCCCTATGCTCTTCTGACTGACTCGATCTCCGAGCTCCATGCCGGTGTTACCTCAGGATGTTCCGATTCAAGCAAGCGTCCCTTGCCATCTTCACCAATAGCCCTCTGACAACCCGATGGCAAGCTCACGAGTCTTAAACTTTGGTGCGGGGCCATCCGCTCTACCCGCTTCGGTATTGGAGAAAGCGGCGGAGGGTCTACTGAATTTCAACGGCACAGGCATTGGGATCGCAGAGATATCACATCGATCCAAGGAATTCACGGCCTTCGTCGCCAACCTCGAGTTTCTCATCAGGACGCAGCTTGATGTTCCCCCGACACACGCCATCCTGTTTACTCAAGGAGGAGGATCTGCCCAGTTCTCGGCCACCGTCTTAAACCTCTTAGCGAGGCACCGGCTACTACACCCCCACCTCAGTGACGACGAACGAGTTATGGACTACGTCGTCACTGGCTCGTGGAGCGAAAAGGCTGCAGAGGAGGCCAAACGCATGGGAGGTAGCCGCGTGAACGTCGCCGTAGATTCGCGCAAGTATTCGAAGGACGGGAAGTCTTTCGATAATATCCCTCCCCACACCGAGTACGCGTTCTCGCCAGACCCTGCCCTGATTTACTACTGCGAGAACGAAACCGTCGACGGCGTCGAATTCTCGCACAAAGACGCCGATGCTACCTCCTTCCCGTACCACCTCCTCGACAAAGGTGCCTTACTCCCCCTAGTTGCCGATTACTCTTCCTCCTTCATGTGTCGCCCAATCCCTCATCTTTCCGACCACGCTGTCATCTTCGCAGGTGCACAGAAGAACATCGGACCGGCGGGTTTGACTATCCTCATCGTTCGTCAGGACTGCATCGTCGATGTGGATGCGGCGGCGCAGCTCGGTGCTACGCCGATCCCCTTGACGATGTCGTACAAGACGCTGTTTGATAGCAAGAGCTTGTACAACACGCCGTCCGTCCTTCCCATCTACATCGCAGGTCTTGTGCTCGAGCATCTGGCGGAATTGGGCGGTTTGAAGTACTATGAACAGACGAATCGGAAGAAAGCAGAGAAGGTGTACGAAGCGGTGCGCAAGGGCGAAGAAAAAGCTGTGCTTCAGCGCAAAGTTCAAGACGGCGCTGGGAGCTGGATGAACGTGGTATTCTCAGTGTTGGGCGATGGTGCCGAGCAAAGATTCATAGAAGGTGCCGAGAAAGAGGATATGAAGGGCTTGAAAGGTCATCGGTGAGTCCAAAGAAATACGGGCCTTCAGACAACTCTGACCCGTCCGATTTCCGTGTACAATAGCTCGGTAGGAGGTACGCTGCTACTTCCTTGCAAGCCTGCGAGCACCTCTGACCATAACTTACAGGGATCCGCGTCTCCTTGTACAATGCAATCACGGAAGCCGACACGGATAAATTGATCGGATACATCGAGAAATTCGTTTTGGCCGAATCCAACACGACATCTTAGATCTAAATCATCTGGAAGCAGGGGTATCTATCTGTAGTCAGAATGTATGGACACGTACTGCATATCTATCCCAGCCAGTCGTTTGAACTCCGGCGAGAACAATAGTAAATTTCGGCCGACGCGTGTCACTCAGTTGCTGAAGTGTGTGCGCGAAGTTATGCGTGCCCACAGACCGTGCTTGACAGGTAGTATGCCGGTCCCAGTGTTTCTCCCGCAGCGCAAAGACGTGGAAGCCAATGGATCCGGATACGAGGGTGATGGGGACACAGAAAAGCATGCCACTTACATGCCCCATGGCTGAGTTGGTTACAGCGTCCGACTGTTAATCTCCGTTAGTGATCGGAAGGTCGTGAGTTCGAGCCTCACTGGGGCAGGTCTTCAGGACATTCCATTTTTGTTCTTGTTCACCTGTTCTTTTGTGCTATGTCGACCAAGTAGTACTTCTATGACCCTGCGCGACTGTGGGCAGGTAACGAACGAGTCAAGAGTGATAGTTATAGGACTGTCAATTCATGTTGGCTTGCGCTTTGGCTGGGAGACCGTGCTTGAACACCGTGCTGAAAACTTTTTGGTTCTAGGGCACTTCAATAATCAGTCGACGGCCGGTGAGCTAGCCTAACATTCGGTCATCTAATCGGATTATCACTTACAACCTCGCAAGATTTTGCGTACACTAGCCATCCCCTCGGCCCGCATCTTGTTCGGACAACCATCAGGCACAGGGTGCCACTCCCCTGACTGGCCCTCAGCATCTCGTATAGCATCGCAGTACGAGCAAGCGAAGTGGTGAGATGGATCTACACGCTTTCGGCTGCAAATTATCACCACATTGCCAATCATATACCTTGATTTCTTCCTTATATCGCAGGAGGTCGGTACGAAAGCCCAGTTCGACCCACGCCTTCTAGCCCTGATTAAAGCGACAGTCAGTACAGTACCGATTCCTTGGGCCTGTGGCGATCGATCCGCGGTGAGGCATAGCGAAGCAGCGACAAGATAGCCGCGGTCCACAGGTCTGAGCCATGTTTCCTGTGCCGCCGTCGGTACCGTATTGACTGTACCATCAAGAAGACAAAAGGAATGGAACAGGACAGCCAGCACGGCAGAATGCCGTCAAATTCTGCCACAGAAGCAGTTCCTCCAAGACAGGTGAGCTTTGACGGTGACGACGACGAGATATCCACAATGGGAAAGGTACCGCAAATTACCAGTAACAGTGGATCACCATGTCGTGCGGGCGAAATGTGGGTTGACTCGGCTGGCGAGGTGTTGTCTGAGAGATCACATTCGAAGGTCCACGACAGTCCCACGATTCAGCCGTATCATTTCGTCGTGTATCCAGAATGGTTCGGCAAAGAGTTGGGAGCGGCGCAGTGTTGAGGTGAGTTTTAAGGGCGCAATGGGTTAGCACCGAGGAAATGCGATTCGACAAGGACCGTGAGTGAGTTTTGCGTCGCGCACTACTGAATGTATCGCGATCGGACGAGAGCTCGGGGTGAGTCTCCCTACATCGATCCCGCTCCGCAGAACAATCGTTGGCATTCTAAAACAGGTTATCTGGAGGAAATGTACATTCAAGTCGCATTACTGCGGTCCATGAAGCACGCGGAAGCAAAACGGGTGCTCACAGATGACTGTCCGCTGCGCGTTGCATCAACTACGATTGAAAAGCTCCATGGCTGCAAGCAAGCCTCAGGCAGGCTCGTGTTAGTTCTGACTTGCTCGGAGATGGTCGGGCTACATACCACGGTTGTGCGTACGTCTATAGACAGTGTAATTAGTAGAGACGAACGCAGCCGCGCATTGCAGGGAGTAGAGATTCAGAAGGCGACCAGAGGGGACATTGAACGCCTCCGGAACGCCGGGCCATCGCTCCGACGAACCCGAGCGCTTGCAACAATCGCCTCGAAGGCCTTTCACGGGCAGTAACTCTTGAGAACAAATATGCCCATGGCGATGCAGATCTCCTGGCCCAGGAACTCTCACACCATCCGTTGTTCACCACCCGGCATCATTGCAGCACAACGTCAATCTCATTCAGAACGCCGGGATCCCCCCATTTGTCCGTTCGCAAGTCTGACGCGGCATTCAAGCTCTCAGGCGAAGCACGCTTATCGACGCTTGGTGGGCGAAATGCTTGTATTTTCAAAGCTAAGCGCTAGCCGCATCAACCTCGCTGGCTTTACAACACGTACCCGTCCCAGCATCATGCCAGCAGGTGGCAGAGCGGACCGCGATGCGCTTGATGATCGGGAGGCAGTCGGACACCGGAAATGTGTATATGTTGTTCGACATAGAACACCGGGATTAAATGCGGTCAGCGTTAGGGAGGGTACGGAAGGCGTACTCAACTAAATACATCTACGGGATGTAATATACATCACCGTGCTCTGCTTTCGGTCCTTATCCGTTATATGTCACGTTCGCCCGAGGACGAGATGTCCCTACTGTTCATATGTTCAATATGCAATATTGCCTTCTGGACAACCTTCGGAGTAACAAAAGTGGAAAGCGCACGGATTTTTTGACCAGTGATACGCGTGGAGTCCTCGGGTGACTTGACAGTGGTGTGTATGACGGTCCGAGTCCACGGTTTGCACGATTATGAGTGCTTGGCTTGACATACATAGAGAGTGACCTGTATTGGCCCTATGAGCCTGTCAATGAATGATGATCGTGACTGTGACAGGCGAGAGGTCTGAGTTTCAAGCCGAGCTTGTCGTTCAGAGAACCGACGTAATACAAGGCATCGAAAGCTGCTTCGTTTCATGTCGGTAAGTAACAGATGGGCTTTCCATCGCTTAGAGTATTGCGTACCGTATTGGTACTCTGCTTCGCGAGAGTGTATACACAATATCAAATGTTGCCTAGAGAGTTGTTATCGAGTCTAGAAACACCTTAGCGCAGAGGCTTGGCACGCTGAAATACAGCCGTGTGGATCACATTCCCTAGCGTCGTCCGTAGACGGACATGTGATAGTGAGCAGTTTAGGCGACTAGCGCAACGACTTGGCAGCCTACGATAACGCACCATCGCACCAAGAACGCACAAGACGACAACATCCGTCCGCCTGGGGACGATCAATTCCACGTCCCTAGGCATAGGGAAGACGAGACCAGGTGATGGGCACGAGAGGCGAGCGTCCGATCAACAACGAGATGATCTGACTGGGTGTGGGGAAAGCCTGATCATGATCCATGCTCTACGGGGGAAAGCATCGCGTCCCCAACACGATCGGCGGATGATAGCGTGAATCAGTTGGATCGATGATGGGGAGAGGGACAATCGTTTAAGTAGGCCTGCGCTACAAGATTGCTGAAAAGTACGAGCACGAGCTTCCAGAAGAGTGAGCATGGATACCCACGTTTCTCAGCAGAGATCGGCGCGCAATTCAAACTGCTCGGCAGAGAATGTGGTCGAAACAAGATCCTTTACGGTGGTTGCTGGCGCCGGTTGATAGGAGTCTCGAGGGGTAGTAAGTTGAACACGGGATATTGCACGACGGAGCGTTGCCTGAGTCCACCGAATGAGACGAACGCTGGAGATCTCGCAACCTGAGGCTTGATGAGGCACTCATCAACACGCGAGTGTCGCAGATACCGGACACGATGAGCGGTCAGATGGAGGAAGCGTACCTCAGCCGATATCACGATGAGATGACTGCGGCTTCGATGACAGCTGCGCCCAGGTTGCTCGCACGGTCGGATACGAATATCTGCTTAGTGACAAGCAACTCGCTTCATGCCTCTACGATTGAGCGGCACTCGCACTCACCATTATCACGAAATCCAGATTGGTTCTTGGGTCCCGACCAGAAGATCAGTCAGCGAGGGCTGCGACGCCGAAGAGGGCAGCTCGGGGTTGCTATCCAATGCGACAGGGTCTGCCGAAGTACTTCAACAGTGGAAGTTCTGGATGCAAGCGCTCACCTGCTGCGCCGTACCGAGCCCCGACGTTCCTGCGGCCCACGGGGAACATCTGGATGTTCTTGGACTAGGGATAGCCAACCCTGCACGAAGAGTGCGATCTGATAGCATCCGTGGACAGCCGCTGTCGAGCACGATGCATTGGTGAACAAAGCAAGCGAAGCAGCTGGCATTCGTCTGATGCGCCTGATTGGGGCCATCTAATCTAATCCGATTTATTCTATCTCCCGTTCGACGCGACTTGCCCTTCTCGAGCTGCTCGTCCCAGCGTGCTTGCCGACAACGCACGATCCTAGCGGACGCGTGTTTTCCGGACATTCCAGCACGCACGGGAACACACATCGCCCCCCCCCCGACGCAGCCTTCGTGCCCGGATCCTGCCCAAATCGCCCGACGGGCTAACCGGGCGAAGCCCTCCAGCGCAATCCCCCGCCTGCCATTCGGCACGCGCCTGTCCTCATGTCCCTCCTCCCATCGGATCCTGGGAAGCTATCTGGCTGCACGCCCCGCCAGACAAATCGCGCGTCCCCACCGCCAGCGCACGCCGTGGGAGCACCCACACATATGCGTGTGCGGGGAAACCGTGGCACTCAGCTGACCCCGTCCGCGAACGCGTCTGGTCGAGCTTGGTATGCTCTGTGCTGCTGACCCTGCGCGCCCGTGCGTGTCTTTCCGTCAGCAAAAGCGTACGAGGCGGCGTGCGCGCCACCGTTATCTCTTCTGGGACTCGAAGTGACTCGGTGGCCGGAACATACAACCAACCGCGCACAGGAGAAGCCATCCAGCAGTTCAATTGCAATTAGCGAATGCGAGTGGGTCGCAGTGACTCAGAGCTCGCTCAGCATTGGCTTGTTCAGCATTCATGGCGACATCTTGACCGCCCGACCCCTTGACCCGTCGCCCTTCTGCCCGCTCGCATCATCGTTGCGCCCGGCGTCTGCTCGTCGAGAAGGACGTCTGTGTTCTCTACGGCCGACTTGGCGTCTGCATCTGCCAGCGCAATCTCAGCTTGACGCCCTGCGGCGCACCCTGATGTTCCCGCATTCGTGCGCGCGTCCCTATTCGCTGGGCAGGGAAAGGCGCTCTGCCCCTCGGCGAGTCGCCCGATTTGTCCGACTCGGCTTGTGCCGCTGCTGCATTCGGCGGGCTGCTGTATTCGGCGGGCTGCCGCGTCATCTTTGCACTCCCATATTTTTGATGCTACCGTAGGTTCCCATAGGCTCCCATTCGTCGTTAGTGACCCGACCTGGTGTTCTCTTCCCTCCAGCTTCGGCGAGCTGCCGCGTCATCTTTGCACTCGCAATGTGCATGTGTTGATGTCCACTTGCGTTCCCATTTGTCGTACGTTCTCTCTGCCGCTCGGCCGACTCGAGCAATCTTCCTCTGCGTGTGCATCTGGACACCTGCATCATCTTTGTACTCGAGAACTGTGATTCCTGCTGTATTAG